TGATTCTGAAAGGGGCAATTGAATTCCTGTGAATTGACTGCTCCTGCTTGAGGGGGAAGTTCATCATGAGGATTTTCTAGAAGGTGTCAGACAACCACTGAAGACTCAAGGTAGCACTCCAGGGGTCTGATGTAAAAGCTGACAGTAGAATATTCCTGAAAATCTTGTCTCAGTCTTGAAGGAAGATAGATGAGGTAAATTTAGGGCTAATAAACCTTGTACTAACAGTTGAGGTGCACACTTCTTAAATGATCAACATGCCTACATGCAGAGCTAAGCAGGTCACAAAGTTTAAGGTCATAAAGGAGAAATACAAAATGAAGGCAGAGAGTTCAAGCTTTATCCTGTTTTCAGTAACTCATCGGGCAGCTGCAGGCCTAAATAAAGAGACGCTGCTTTTGCAAAGTCAGCCTCTCTAATCCCTGTTACAGAATGTTTCCTCAGGTTTCTCAAGCCCCCTACCAAACTCTCTTAAAACCCTGGCCAATCTGGATAAAATCTGGATAAAACTTTATCTTATCTAGATAAAATCTTTCCAGATTGGCCAGGGTTTCCAGTTTCCTTATGGGAGCCATGATTTCTGAAAGAGTAGGTTTTTAGAGCCTTTAAAGTTAGGGAAGCAAAAATAAAATTAAAAAAATTATGGAAGCATGAACTCTTAAATACCTAGTCAGGCAATGTCTGAAAGAGTTTCTTTAGAGAACTTATCGGATACACGGTCAAAATTGATGACTTCATCACATAATGTGCAGAGCATGCATGAGCACTGTGATGGTACTTCTCCAGGAGACAAAACAAACAAATTCAAACAACCACTCCACCTCCTAAATCTTCCATTCTAAAATTCCCTTGTGTTTTATAAATAAATCTCTTACTGTCCCTTCCTGTTTGGCTGTCCATTTTCATCTTAACTGTATGGGGGTGGGGGTAGAGACCGTAAATCAAAAAGTTGTCCAACATCTCTGTCTCTCAGCTAAACCACAGATATGGAACAGAAATGCTTGTGGGTCCTTGGACAATACTTGGTAAACAGCAAAGCATTCTTCCCATTCATTGTCATTATTAATTATAAAGGAGGGTGACTAGTGATCTTTGGTCTAAAAATTACACTAATTCCTATACGACCACTGTTTTTCACTGGCCACATTAAGATCTTACCTAAGGAAAAAGACTACTTGGTTTTAAGACTCACAAGGCCCCACCTCCTTCATTAAACCTACTCTTATTCTCCTAAGCAAATATTTGCTAAACCATTGTACTTCCAGGGCATTTCTTTTTATCTGCTTTATATTTATTGGTTTATATTCAACTTTCTCCCTAGTAGAATTTTAGCTGTTATTTTGCCTATTTCTATCCAAGAAGTACTAATATCACTTTATTTAATTGCATTGGGAATTTTTATCTTTCCAGAGAATTCCAGAAAACTTTGGTACCTTCTGAGAAGAGGTTTGTAAACAGAACCTGAGAAAAACTTTTTCAAGCCCAATTTGCAAAGTATCAAAATCATAGTWAGTGCTGGCAGTTTCACTTCTTGCTTTCGGTAGGCCTTGCTTTGTGTTCCCTCTACTGTCTGCTGAAATCTATTTCCAATGAAATTTGTTGTGCTGCAGTAGAAAGTGTGAATTCTTTATTTTCTTCTTCGTTTCTTCTTCTTTTTTTTTTTGAAAATTCAAAGCATTTACTTGTTCTTTACTATGTGCCAAGCTCTATTATACATAAGAAAATAAGACAGAGCCAATGCTTTCAGGCATAAACATTCTGGAAATATCTCAAGAATCCTAGCAAAGCATTCTTTTGTATAATGATAGCCAGCATAAAGGACTCACTTGGCGTTAGTCAACAGGAGAAGTGATCAGATCATGTTTGCTTAATGCTTCATTCTTTACTGAATATTGCCAGGCTTATCTCATTTGGCTCCTCCCTCCCCATAAGTGTCCAGTACAGCCTTGGGTATTAATGGAGATTTATGTAAATACACACCAAACTGAACTGACCACTGTTTTTGAAGTCAAGTGTTTAAGGCATAAATTGCACAGCATGTTTTAAAATAATTTGACCTTGAATGCCTTTAGGCAAGTAATGCAGAATCAATCCCAGATTCTACCACTCCTCATTGTATTATACCTAGCTCTATTCAAATATTTTTTGTTACCTGCCAGTCCCTATAAGCATTTAAGTTTTTAGGAGTTCTTTGTTAGAGCCTGTGCTCTCCTCTCATAGATGTATGTGTAATTATTTGATCTTTAAACCACCTGTGGAATAGATAGACTACCTTTCATGGTACAATTTTAAGTTCAAATTGCATCTTAATTTTTTAGTCAATAAACACTGAGCTTCCAGTTTTTGCAAGCCTTAATATTAGATTGTGGAGAATTTACAGAGAGTTTCATCTAAGAAAGAATCCCTGCCCTAGAAGATATCATAACAGTTAGAAGGTTAAACCTTGCAAACATGAAGAATACAATTCTTACTAGAACTGGTGTAAAAAGAGTGATAGAAGTACAAAAATCCTGGAAGCTGTCTAGAGGAAGAGAGACTTCCCAGAGGGGTGGAATTTGAACTGGCCCTGGAAACACTTGTGAGATTTGGAGTTAAAGTTACTTCAGTGGTCACTGCAGATGCAAATGCGCAGGGGAGTTGAGGGGACAATGAAATTTAGGTCGAGATGAGAATGTCAAGGGATTAATGCCAGAAAGAACCTCCAATGGAGAGAGAGTGACAGTCACTCAAAAATGGAGTTACAATACCAAAGAAGTATTTGGAAAAGATTAAATCTGATTATTATTATTTTTTTCCAAAATAAAAAGGAGCACACCTTTAAGATTTTTTGGGGGTGGGGATGGAACTGAAACCATGCACTCAGTTAGGAGGTCACTGTATTCATCCACATGTTTGATAACCAAGCCCTGACACTGAGTCAGAAAAGCAAAGCAAAGAAAAACGTATTATAAGATAACTGGCAGGACTACTGGCAACTGATCAGTCATACAAGAGAGACTGTGATTTTCATAAGAATGGAAAGTTTTACTCCATGTATGTATGATATGTCAAAATACATTCCACCGTCATGTATAACTAAAAAGAACAAATACAAAATACRAAACAAACAAACAAACAAAAAAGAGCCTGGTTTTAAGGTAAGACTATGGAGATAATATTGGAGCCTTGGAAGGTAGGGGAAAGAAATATAAAATGAGGAGTTGGTTTTAGAATGAAGGCAATGAGTTGGATGTGAGTCATGGATAATGCAAAGCATTCAAGTAAAATGTAGGTCTAGATTCTGGGAGATAATTTAGGAGATGAGATTGCAATTGCCTTATTACAGAGTAATCCTAGCATGGTACAATCAAGGCACATGGTATATTTTGACATTGGCATGTGGAATAAAAATGACACAAAATCTATGGGTCAATGTTTAATGCATTATAAAACATGACCTATAATACTATCTCTGAAGACATTTCCACCATCTCCTTTTAACATCAACATCAAACATTGAATATTTTGATGTTGATGTGTATATAAAACAGACATTTTGGTAATTTGCCTGCTGTTATACCAAATAAATTATTGCAGCAATTCAACAAGTTCCCAATGACTATGTTTTGCTATGGGCCAGGTAGTTGGGACTCAGAAAATCTTAAAAGTGTGGTCCTTGTCTTTGAGGAGCTCCAGTTCATTGGAACCTGGGGAGAAGACATCTGGAAGCAGCAGGCCAGGAAGAGCCTGCTGATGTGTGGGAAGCCAAGTAAGGAAGGCACGCAGATCAGAATCCTGTGGCCAGAGTGGCCAGAGCAATGTTGTTCATCCATTTGTGGGACTACAGGTTGTAAGAGAACTTGGAAGACATACAGGTCAATCAGTATTTGACTTCTGATGAAACAGAGAGCTCCTGAACTTCTTCATGCTGAGAATATGTACTGTCCCCTGGCCCACCTGGGCACCAGTGACATGTTCTCTGCCTGGCACAGCACAGCTAGATCTACATACTTACTTCACCTGGCTTTTGTTTCTATAAATTGTAACTGCTTCTGTAGGACCAGAAAAGAAGGAATCTAGGTACTTCTCTCCAGTTTGATTAAGTTGCATAAAATTTGCTTTTTCTTTTTATGTTATTTGCTTACTTCTTATGAGGTGGCTGAATCCAGCCAACCAAGATCTAGGTAGGTTCCCTTAACTTAGATGCCAGTAACACTGATAAAACTATCTGACTCTGGCTTGATTTTACTCTGCATTTTGGCAATTTGTGTCTGTGATTCCCTTCCACAGAGCCATAGAATTTCAGGGCTAGACGTACTGATTAAGTAAGTAATCAAGTTTCACTTCTCCACCTCCACCCCCTCCCATGTGAATTTATTATTTCACTCTTCTTCTATGTAAATCCAGAATAACAAGAGTTAAAATTATCTTTAATTTTTCTCTTTCCTCTGATCATTTTATATGAAAAAAATAAGTCTTTAAGTTGGCCCCAAATCATGCTTTTGTTATATAGTAGTTACCTCTATAAGTTAGTGATATGATAGTGTTTATGTTTTGTTTTGTTTCCTAACAGCTTACTCTTAGAGCATTGCTTATAAACACAGGCCAGCCTAGAGTATGGCTTGTCTGCCAAAAGGATAATCACAAACAGATGTCAGTTGTAGAAAAACATTTTTAAGTTCTTAACCATTAACCCTTCAAAACCTCTAAGATGAGAGATACTTCAGGAATAAATTTTTCTAGAGTGCACATTTTCGGTATAGAAAATATTGTACCTCAAGAAAAAATGTTCAACAAGAATAATAAGCATTGGGGCAAGTGAGAGAAATCCTAATATTTGGGGAACAGAAGGAAATTTGCTTGTTTATACCCCCGAGCATAATTTCTGAGGCAGAATTCCTCCTGCCTCTAACAATGGAGAGCAAAGATATGCCCACACCTCCTCCACCACAGCAGCCTCACCACAGTCTCCAACACAAACTCAGAAAGTACAAGAAAACCTCAGCCCACTCAGTACTCACATAGGCACTGTGTACAGCTCCTCAGGAAAAGACACAAAAGAAAAGCAACATACAGTTGCTATCGGCATCAAATTTCTATTAAAGAAACCAACAAGCAGAATAGACAAAACCAAAACCAAAGCAATCAGCGAGAAGTAGCATCAGCCCAGGATCCTCTTTTGCTGGGATATAGGAGGTGTAATAAAGATCTGTAAAAATTTGGGGTTAACATAGTAAGCAAGAAAAGATGCAATCAGTCACGTCAGCCCTGCTCTGCTTTCCTGTAATATGAGGGTAATTAAAACCAGAACAGGTTCTGGGGAACTAACTGATGGGAGCCGGGACTAGAGACAAGGTTAGTTTTGCTTTCAGTATTGCTTCTCTGCAAGCAGATGGCCTTGAGCTGTGTCCCTGGTGAAACTGGTATATCAGTTTCTCCACCAGGAATAGGGGAAAGGGAGGGGAAAAAGAACACCAGCAGGTCCCAACCATGTGCCAGGAACTTTGTATTGTTGTTTTTATCCATTTCCCAGGGATGCTATAATAAATTATCACAAACTGGGTAGCTTAAAACATCACATGCTTATTTTCTCACAGTTCTGGAAGCTGGAGTCTGAGGTCCAGGTGTCACATGCTCCTTCTGAAGGATCTAGGTAAGAAGGCTTCCCTGCCTCTTCCTGGCTTCCTCTCTAAGTGGTGCTTGGCAGTCTTCACTTGGCAGTCCTTGGTGTCCCTTGCTCATAGGGGCATCACTCCAATCTCTGCYTCTCTCTTCACATAGCCTCTTCCCTGTGTATCTCTGTATGTCCTCTCCTCTTCTTACAAGGACACCAGCCATGGGATAATTGCCCACCCTAATCCAGTATGAGTTTACCTAAACTGATTATATTTGCAAACCCTCTATTTTCCTTCTGAAAAAGTAGCGCTTTTTTTTCTCCTCTTTGTTCTGTATCCTCTTTTCACTCTATCCCTTGTGCAAGAAAAATGGTTTAAATGTTTCCTTAGCTTGTATTACTCAGTAATATAACTATACTCTTCATTGCTGCAATGACTATAAATGGGAATGGCTGCCTTAATCACAAGAAAGGGGTCCCTGTTCTGGGAAGCTGCCCTTTGGGGACTCCACCCAAGGCTTATGTGTGGACCTGATTGGAGATACCCACCCTCCTTTTCCAGCGGCAGTGACTGGCTGAAGAATAGACACACAGTCCCTGATTCTGAGAGTTTAGAGTTGTGGCATCCGCACCCCACTCCACCAGAGTGCCTATCCCTCTACACACCCCTCTCTCCTCTTCCTCTACTGCAAACTTCCTCCTAAGGGCCATCTTACCTATAGTCGTTCCTCTGGGCAACTCAGCTCTTTTTCTAAATGCGTATGTTTTAGGAAACAGATTCATCTAGGAGCAAGGGAAAGCCCAGGTACTTTCATATCAGGGCCAAACAAAACTCAAACTAATGTCTCAGCACACTGGCCTGCCTCAGAAAATCTATATGTCAAGAAAAACTACCAGAGGGGTAGATGCTAAGTGTTGATGGCACTTATGAGTAGAGGCCTTGTATGTGATTTTGCAGTTGCTTTTAAAAATTGTCTTACATTTATTGCTTCCCAGGAACACAAGTTACATAGAAATAATGTTTAAAAAGTATCAATGGAGAGTATAGTTAGGTTACTGAATAATACAAGCTAAGAAAACATTTTAAGAGCTCACAAAGGGTTTATGTGTTTCTAATTAATTTTAATTACTTAATAAACTATCCATAAGTCCTTTGCTAAGTTTTTAAGTTAGAAACACACATATGCTCTTTTCTTTGTTTGCTTTATAAATGAAGGTCACTGAGAGGCATAGCTATTGTGTGTGTTTGTGTGTATTGTGTGTAGAACTAAAACCCTCATACTGCATTGATACTTGGTAATACAAACATTAGGATTTAGACCATAAAAACATCATATTATAATATGCATAATAATCATCTCATTGGTGTTTGCAACCAGACTACTAGGCCCCTTCTGTGTAAAGAAGTGAAAGTTGAGGCATGGAGAAATTACAGAGCTTAACCAGGCTCACTCTGTTAGAGAGCAAGCTATGCCCTGGAGTCTAATGGTAGTGGGGGTCTGCCACCACCAGTGCTTGCAACCTTGCCTGAATTTCAAGGCATTGCATTTTAGTCGTGGATAGGGGGTTACTAGAAGGGAAAGGGAAAGGGAGAAGAGGGGCACTCTCAAGAGAGAAAAGAAGAGAATGGGTCCTCTCAAAGAGGTGAGGGGCAGCCCTCTTCCTACACTTCTGTTTTATTGGGGGATCCCAAGGACGTTTYCCCCAAACTGGCTCAGGTCTACCTTTTGACTTTTGACTAACAGCAAGATTGTGTCAGACTTTCAGGTCCCCACTGTGCATGGTGTTACCACATGGAGAGGAGATTTTACTATTATAATGACATGATAAAGATCCAGGCAACTCTGGGTCACTTTGGACTGTGCTGACCAGTTCTAGTTGGAACTTGTTCTTACAGATTTCATGGTTGGGAGTTTTGTTCTGCTTATCCTATCTCCATGAATCTGCAATCTGGTCTGTGTAAAGTCACAAAAGTGCCCACTTCAGGGTAACTTGTGCTCTTCTTATCAGTAGGGAAGAATGTTTTGAACTGCATTTCTCCTACAGATAACAGGTTGTTTGCTGAGGAATATAGCATAGCCTATTGACTTGAACCAGGCAGGACCAGAGTGGTCTCAGGTAAATTGACTTTTTTTTTTTTTTGTACTTGGAATCAAACCTAGAGGTGCTCTACCACTGAACCACATCCCCCAGTTCTTGTTATTTATTTATTTATTTATTTATTTATTTATTTATTTATTTATTGAGGCAGGATCTTGCTAAGTTGCTAAGGGTCTTGTTAAGTTGTTGAGGCTGGCCTTGAACTTTTGATTCTGCTTCAGCCTCCTGAGTTGCTGCAATTACAGATGTGTGCCAACACACAGGACTGGTAAATTGCTTTTTAAAAGAAAGCATGCCTAGAGGCTTGGGAGATTGAGGCAGGAGGATTGCAAGTTCAAACCCAATCTTAGTAACTTAGTGAGGCCCTAAGAAGCTTAGAGAAATTGTCTCAAAAAAAAAAAAAAAAGGGCTGGGGATGTGGCTCAGTGATTAAGTACCTCTGGGTTCAATCACCAGTAGCAAATAAAAAAAGAAAGAAAAGCAATCATGTGAGTGTTAGAGGAGTAAGGCCCAGTCTATAGAATTACCCCCTTTAACGTCATATCTGTCTGTTACCTATGGAGTGTATTGTAGCAGGAAGAAAAAATGCTACAACAAATTTTTTTCTTTCTAAATTCAGTGTTCGTTTTTAAACACAGCGCAATACAAAGTATGCAATTAATGGAATGTGATGTGATACATATGTTTATGTGAAGCACCTAGAACAATACCTGCCACACCATAGCCACTAAATCAATGTCAACTAGTTTAAATCTGAAAAATAATAAGTCCAGTCTTTCCCTTTTCACCTGAACATGTGGGGTGGGGGGCGTGGAGCCTGAGGATGCACACAGATAGTCTGACACAGAGTGACGAGGATAAGAAAGAAATGCACTTAGGTTTTCGGAAAACGGGCAAACAAGTCCTAAGGAAGGGGCAAGAGCTGAGGAATCAGCACTTTATTCAGAACTAGCCTTAGCAACTTTTCCAAAGTCAAGAACCAAGGTTCTGATGGGAATTTAATCTGAAATGTGATAAAAGGTCAGTGTCCTCATTGAAAATTGGGACAGGTGATTCATGGCTGGGAGAAGATCATAAGCAGCTGGGGATAAAGAGAGGAGGAGGGAGGAATTCACTTGAGAGCCAGCCTGAAAACTGGCCTCCCTTGTGTCACAGCCCAGAAACTGGAGGTAGGTTAGTCACTTGTAGCACCTAAGGCTTGGGATCCCACCAGGTGTTTGCAACCTGTTGTCAAGGGAAAGGAAGGAAAGGTGTGGGTGGGAGTTCTGGTCAGAGCAATTGAGATGCTTGCTTTCAAAAGGACAGAAGTCTAGGTTTGGCTTATTCATTGAAGAGAACTTCAAAATAAAAGGAGGTTTATTGTAAGTGTAATAAGTTAGGGAGTGAGATGAGGCACTAATGAAGCACTCTTCCTGTCCCAGCTCCACCCCGCCTCCAAGTCATTGAAAGTTCTTAGTTAAGAAAAAGTTTTCAGAGCTTACAAAGGCCAAATTTCAGTGAGTCAAATTTCATGATTTCTTGAGTCTTTCAGGTGCAGGGGTGGAGCAGGGAGTGATGGTAAGAGAAGAGAGGGGGGAGTGAGAGGAAAAACAGTTCCACTGGCCTTTAACAAGGAAATGAGTGGACTCTTGTGACAGGGAGAAGGTTCTAGGTGCTTGAAGATGCAAACTGTCCTCTTCCCCTCTCATTCTTGGAGAGAAAAAGGGGGTGCTGAACATACACCCCTAAAGTTTGAGAGTGTCTAACAAACATATTAATACTAGCCTTTTACCCAGATTTTCTCATGGTAGGAAGTTCACTGTATCTGCCATGCCTGGGGGTGTGAAGGGATGTGGGGTTGTACTTAGGAATGAAGAAAATGGGAACAGCCCTCATTCCAGGCCCCTGAGACCTAGGAACTACCAAGACACCAACAGTCAGTTTGGCTTTGGGTTATGCAGAAGGGAGCGAAGCCAGTGGTACAGACAGCCAGGAGCTTATCAGAAGCCACTAACAGTAAATGGAATCAGGCTGAGACTGGATACTTCTCTCTCTCACTCCAAGACCACAGGGCCACCAGTGTAGTTTGTTTTGGGAGGAAAGAGTTTTGGGAAAGATACGGGATTAGAATTTTAAATGGGACTCAGTTAAATGGGACTCCCCAAAATGTTAAACATGGAGTTACAGTATGGCCCAGCAGTCTCCTCCTAGCTATATATACCCAAGAGAAGTGCAAATATATGCCCCCACAAAAATGTCTACACAAATGTTCATGGCAGCATTATTCATAATAGGCAAAAAGTGGAAACAACCCAAATGTCCAGAAACCGATGAATGGGGAAAAATGAATTATGGCCATACAACAGAATATAACTCAGTCTTAAAAAGGAATGAAGTTCTGACACATGATGGGGATGAACATTGAAAACATTATGCTATGTGAAAGAAGCCAGTTGCAAAAGACCATATATTACATCATCCCA